CAGGTTGCTCAAGGCTCATCCAACCTGGCTGTGAACACTGCCAGGGTTGGGGCAGCCACAGCCTCCCTGGGCAACCTGGGACAGTGGCTCACCACCAGAACAGGGAAAACTTCTCCCTAAGATCTAATCTAAATTTCCCTTTTCAATTTATACCCATTACTCCTTGTCCTGTCGCTCCAGTCCCTAACAGAATCCCTCTGCAGCTTCCTTATATTTAATAACCTTGCAACAATTTACACTGAGGGGGATTATCACTGCCATTGCTAATAAAATGTATAGAAATCATTTCACTAGTTCCTTGAGGCTGAAGCAATTAGTCAATTATGTCTGACATTAGGATGCTGATTCCTATTTCCACCTAAAAACAAGAGTTGCATCCTAAGCCAGGGCAAGAGAGAGCAGCCTGGGGACCAAACTTGTGCTGCATCAGGGACAAACATCAGCACCTCGAGGGAGGAGATGCATTGCCTGTTCCTCAAACAGACTTCACTCAAGAGCCTTTGCTGGTGCTCAGAGACTCCTAGTGGGAACAGATTGGAGGTCACTGATAAGAGTTTTTGACAGTGCCAATGCCTATTGTCCAGCACCTTTTAACAAGTTTTTTTGTCCATCTATTTTCTTGCACTGCCTCATACTGAACTGGCATGAGAATGACTCATTCTGAGGCAAAACCACTGCCTGCCAGGAGAGCTCGTGCTGTTTGCCTACACATTTTATCATTTCAAGACTATTCTCAAGCACCTCCTTGCCCAGTTGGACTCACAGTTCAGTTTTCAGTCAAGTTTCCCCAAGTTTATTGGCCCAAGCCAAATAAGCACAAACCATAGTTCAAAAAACTGTATTTCAAGCACCCTCATTAGATGATTTATCATCTTGATATACCACGATAACTACTCCTCATGATTTCCTAACCAAATATAAATCCAGCTTTAGGCAAACTTGAAACTCAAACACAAAAGCTTCTGCTCAACTCAGGAAAGGTTTGACAGCTAATGGAATTTCCATTTTATTCAAATACTTGAAAAGCTTCAAAACTTTAAGACACAGTAGTCAGGACCTTCCTTTGAAATTCTGAATGCATAAGATATATTAAAATTGAAGTAGCCACAGATGGCAAAGGAAACTTTTATTCTCTTAAGAACCTGGGAGTATATAAAGTGCAGTTTTGCTGCAATTCAGACATTACATTTAGCCTGGAATGAACCATCAGACCAAGCAAAAGACAAGAAAGATGCATTTCCTTTTTCCACTTCCAAGTTTTGACCATTCTTAATCAATTAAGCTTTCCCCAAGCAGAAAAAGGAAACAAGTTGTTCCCCTTAAGCTGGCAAACACTACAGAAAGGAACCCTACCAATATCAGAATGACTCTCCCACTCCCACACACATTTTTCAGTGTTTAGCCCATCATCACATTGAGAAGCTCACAGGTACATCTAAAGATCCTGCAGTGCCACTTACTCTCGAACACTAGACCAAATTTGGTTAATTTGCTGCTAAAATCCTACAAGAAAAGATCATACACCCTCTCTGGGTAACTATTCTGCTCAAGTTTGCCTCTCATTGCCACCTGCCCTCCA